CCACTGTGCATGCATGTGTCAGCAGAAGTCCCAGCCACTGTGCATGCCTGTGTCAGCAGAAGTCCCAGCCACTGTGCATGCATGCATGTGTCAGCAGAAGTCCCAGCCACTGTGCATGCATGTGTCAGCAGAAGTCCCAGCCATCGGGTGTGTCGACACACACAGCTACTATGGGAAAGACCTTCAGTCTGTGACTGTCTAGACAGGACATGACAAAACAAATGACCCTGACTGAAAATAGCTTGACTTAGAACTCTTCGAGTGGTGTTGAGTGGATATTTTAGCTTGGGTTTACTGGGATGTGATGCCCTCGAAAACCAAGGGTGCCTGTGTACAGAAAGTTCTGTACCATCTGCAGGTCCAGGCATGCACTGAGTGGGGTTTGGTTTCTTTTCCTATTGATGTGATAAAATACTCGACAAGCAACTGAAGGAAGAGCCTTTCTTTTGGCTCACGTTTGAGGGCACAGTACAGGAAACCGTGGTGGCCGGAGCTTGAGGCAGCTGGCCGGTCACACTGCATCTGCAGTCAGGGAGCAGAGAGAGATGAATTCGGGTCTCGGGTCACTTTCTCTGTAGTTCAGGGCCCAGCTCAGGGAATGGTGCCACCCGCCCTCCTTTATGGTAGGTGTTCTCAGTTCAATTAACCTAAACAAAATAATCCTTGAAAGGCATGGCCAGAGGAAAATCCAATCTAGACAACCCACACTGGCATAGCCAGAAGCTAAGCTAATATGGACATTCTCTCCCAGGTGTGCCTGGAGACTTGTCCCCTGGGTGACTGTAGAACCTGCCAAATTGGTAATCAATATTAATCAGCATAGACACGTTCTGTTCATAAGCTCCAGGTTTCTTTAGAAAATCGACGGCAATCTTTAAGCCGCTTGTGCAGGAGCCTCTGATGCTTTGTCACTGATCTCAGTCCTGATGCATCTTCACCCCCGGCCATCCCTGCCCCCTGCTTTGCCCCTCACTGATGGCGCCACCACACTCATGTACTTGGTCAGCAGGTGCTCCACACACTGGCTCCTGGAGAGGGCAGGCTGTAAGTGTTACTAGGTTTTAGCCTTCTTACACCTGCCCACCGTGTGGACTGAGCTGCTGCAGGGCTAACACCTGCCTACTGTACTGGGTAGCTTGGGCTGCTGCAGGGCTCACCCCTGCCCACTGTGTGGACTGAGCTGCTGCAGGGCTCACCCCTGCCCACTGGGTAGCCTGGGCTACTACAGGGCTGAATCTGTGCCCCACAAATGAGAGATGCTATGTGAGTGCTTGAGCGAGACCCTTTTTGGTTCCCGATGAACATGCTGTTTAGAGTATGGAAAATAGAAGCTTGAGAGTTTTGAGGGACTGTTTTAGGGAATCACGAAGGGCTTGGACATTATCTAGTTAGATTCACAGATGCATATCTTTCATTGTTTTTGACAGTGTGGTGTCATTAAATCCTTTGCTCTGATTGCCTTTCTGGGGGCACAGTGCAAATAAACAATGAAAGAAGTGTGTATGTGTATGTGTGTGTATGTGTGTGCGTACTCATGCGTGCGTGCACGCGTGTGCACATGTGCCTGTGTTCATGCATGAGTGGCCGTGGTCCTTCTACATCATAGGACTTATGACAAGTGGTCCTAAGGGCTGAAAAGAGAGGTGGAAGGAAGGAGTGCTAAGGGCTTGTGACTGTCTCTGTATAGGTTTAGTGGCGTTGAGAAGACATTCAAGCATAATTCCTATGGGATGGGAAGAGAAGATTCAGGGAGGTAACCCTGGGCAGAAAGCCCCAGAACATTTACATGCTGTTCAAGGGCTGATGGGCCCTGGGCTGAGCATGGGAAAAGGAAGACGAGTAGTGACTCCGAAGAAGACTTGAGGACTGCCAAGTGCTGGAGGAGAAGAGGAGCAGGTGGGGGTGGCTGTGGTCAGGTTAGTTGCTTTTAGTTGGATTTCTTCCACTCAGGGCCTCTGCTAGGTAGGCTAATGATGCATTAAATCACCAACTAGTAGCTGCCAATGTCTATAGAGTGCTTAGGGCCGGCCCTGGGCTAAGTAGTTTACATTTAACACATCCACCAGCCCCATGGGTATCTGGGAGCTGGCTATGTTCCCATGTGGTTCAATCAGCACATGGCTGAGTGCTGAGTCCTCGTTGGCATTTGCTTCTGTGCCGTTGGGTGGAACCTGTAGGGACCAGATCCAAATTTTAGATGTGCTGGAGGAGACAGTCCTACCGCTTTCCTGATAATTATTAGTGCTATGTATTCGTGCATATGCACACCTCATGTTTAATACAGCTGAGACTGCAGCAACAAGAAATGTTATAAAAACGAGTCCTTCAGAGGTAAATCCTTCACACAGAGGCGTTACTCAAGAGAGGGTAATCTCTGAACAAGTAGGGCTTCTAGAAATTTCCCGTAACACACGGGGTTATTTATGTTCAAATTATAGAAGCACTTTTTAGGAACACTTTACAATTACAGTTCTTCATGAGACGAGACAGACGTCTACTGCAGCCTCCATCCTTCTGTGACAAGAGATATGCTAAACACCAAGAGAAACTTCCCTTCCACTGTTCCTACAGAGTTTCAGAAACCTGTTCTAGGAGATAGACGACGGGAGTGAAATAGGGAGACGTGTTGGAAGTCAGGATCCTCCAGAGAGCAGAAGCTGTCACTCATGGGAGAAACCAGACCCCCATCCTGGGCAAGGTCTCAATCGTTAGGGGAAAGGGTTCCAAAGGCAGGCTGGAGTCAGAGACAGTCCCTGCTCCCGCTGTAAGGACTCCCACATGAAGACCAAGCTACACAACGGTTGCATATATACAGAGGGCTTAGGTCCATCCCATGCATGCTCACTGGTTGGTGGTTCAGTCTCTGTCAGCTCCATTGGCCCAGGTTAGCCAATTCTGTAGGTTTTCTTGTGGTGTCCTTGACCCCTCTGTCTCCTTCAGTCCTGTATTCCAGTCTTCTGAAGGATTCCTCAAGCTCCACTTTGTGTTTGGCTGTGGGTTTCTGTGGGAACTACATGGTGGAAAAGGGGGGGAGGGGAATTCCACAATGTTGGGTCCTGATAACTCGAGAAAGAAGTCTGGAGTTCTAAGGGCTGGAAGCTTTGGCAATGGCAGGCCCCAATGATACAAAAAGTCTGTAGGTTCCAAGAGTTTTATTGTTCATGGTGTGTGATAGATGGTCTGCACCCCCCCTCCCCACGTTAAGCCAGGGGAGGGCTGGCTTAAACAGGGAAGGGGGAAGAGGAGGGACTGGGAAGGAATAATTTAATTTAGCTACGCCCTCTGGCCTTTAGGTAACTCATGAATATGGGAATCTCTCGAGGCTGAAGCCTGTAGTCACACCCTCTACCTGGTGTGTGGATGGTGACGCAAACCTCTCTGGGAGGGCCTGCTAGCCAAATGTGACTGCAAGGTGCAGGTTAATGGAGATGTAGACCGTGTGTCAGAAGTCTGGATTCTGGGGGTGTGGACAAACACCTACCGTTTCTCCAATGGGAATCAGGGTTCAAAGCCCATGTCCAGCCAAGAATCAAGATATCCTTCCACAGCCCGACAGGTTTCTGCATCTGTTTCCATCAGTTGCTGGTGAAGTCTCTCTGATGACAGTTATGCTAGGCTCCTGTCTGCAAGCATAGCAGAATGTCATTAATAGTGTCAGAGGCGGCCTCTGCTTCATGACATGGGATTCAAGCTGGGCCAATCATTGGTTGGCTGTTCCCTCAATCTGTGCTCCATCTTTACCCCTGCTCATCTTGTAGGCAGGATAAATTGTGGACTGAAGGTTTTGTGTAGGGCTGGGTTGGTGTCCCAGTCCCTCCATTGGAAGTCTTGCTTGGTTACAGGAGGTGGCTGTTTAAGGTTTCATAGTCTCCATTGCTAGGAGTCTTAGCATCCTCATAGGTTCCTGGGAGTTTCCATTGTCCTAGGTTTCTAGCTTGTTCCAGAGATGCCCCCCTGCCACCTGATTCTAATTGTGTCTCCCAGGACTCTCTCCCTCTGCATATCCCCCAATTCAGTCCCTCCTGTTCCCATCCCTACCCTCTCCCCCACCCAGTTCTCTTGCTTCATCCAGGCAGAGTGCTTAGTGCCGTGGCCTTAGAAATCATGCTTGTGTGTGTGTGTATACATGTGCACACACATGCACATGTGTATATTGAAGGTAGGAAGGGGTGAGGTCCCTGAGAACAGGGTTTTTTGGTTGGTATTATGTCAGTGTCACCCTGAAAAGTGAGGGGGCCTTGGGAGTGTCAGTTAACTCCGTTGACATCAAGAGGTCAATGTGCAGTGTTACCTTGGTGATATTTTGTCTGTTTCTCTCCTAGAAACTCCCCACGCTACCCTGGGAAGCAGAGTCTCCAGCTATGCTTCCCAGGTGGGAACTGGCTCTCGGCCTGCTTGTTTCCTTGGGCTTCCACTTCCGGTCTTTCTATGAAGTTTACAAAGTCTCCAGGGGTAAGGCACCAAGATTTTCTGATGACCCATCAATGAAGAAGTAGGTGAGAGTGTCTGAGACAGACAATTCAAGAGGACGGTGACAATGTGACTCTCGCTGGGCTTTGCCTCCCACATCTGTGCAGTGTGAATCCTGGTGTGAGCCTGGGATGGTCTCTCCTGCTCTTTCACATGAGCTAGTGGCTTATTTTCTCCAACAGCGGCTGCTTTTCTTCTTGGTGCTGGGCAGGGAACCTCTGAGCGCAGGACCTGTCACTGAACAGTGTCCCCAACCCCTGACAGCAGTAGGAACGTTTGATTCACTTCTCTTGAAGGCCATGAAAAGAATTTGCACTGAGGATTCAAAGTAGATTCAAAGTTTTTCTTTAAACATCTTTCTCTGCAGGCTTATGTCAGACACGCGAGGCTGACAGTGTGAATTGCTTACGCTCCTCCTGTTTTTTTCTCTGTTTCTTTCATCTTGCTGTGCTGCCCAAGCTAACCTCACCATCCAGGGTCTCCTGCTTCAGCCTTCTGAGTAGCTGGGATTACAGAGAGTACCACCACGTCCCACTAGCATAGTTTAATATTTAAATTTTTCCTGTACTGGGAACTGAACCTGGGGTCTTGTAGCACATGCTAGAAGTATTCTATCCCTAAGCTACTTCCCCAAACCCTCCTCTTTTGCTTTTTATTTTGAGACGGGATCTTGCTAAGTTTTCCACACTGGCTATGAAATCGCTTGGTAGCCCAGGCTGGCTTTGAACTCACAGCAGTCTTCCTTCTTGCCCTGGCCTCCTGAGTAATGAGATTACAGGTAGCCACCACTCGGGGCTGCTGGGCTGGACTTTTGGAGGAACAGTAGCTGGGCTCAGAAAATGGCTTAGTAGGTAGAGCACTTACCTGGTATGGCTGATCACCTGGGTTTGGTTCCTAGAACTCACAGAAAGATGGAAAGAGAGAACCAACTTCTGCAAGTTGTTTCCTGACCTCCGTGTGCACACCATGATGCACATGTGCATGCAACACATGATAATAATAATAATAATAATAATAACAACAACAGCAATAATAATAATAATAATTATTATTATTATTATTTTGGGATGGGATTAGGAGCTAGCCAAGTAGCAAAGAATGCTGGGACCGCATGGCCAGAGTTAGGGTTGCAGGCTGTAGACAAACTTGGTCTCTGCCCTTGGGATGTGAGAGAACATAGAATGGTTAGAGCCACAAATCACTTGGGAGACCTGACCTTGGACTGAAGATCAGGTTTAGGGGTGTGACAGCTGTTAAAAATCCATTAAGAGATTTGGGCCCTGCCTTTAAAAAAATACTTTTAAAATTTTATTTTATGTGCATGAGAGTTTTGCCTGCATGACATGCTTGGTACCCACAGAGGCCAGAAGAATGTGTTGGATCTCTTGGAACTGGGGTTATAGGTGGCTGTGAGCTGTCCTGTAGGTGCTGAGAATCAAACCCAGGTCCTCTGGATGGGCAGCTAGTGCTCTTAACCACAGAGCCATCTCTCCAGCCACTAGGCTTTTTCTTGACAGCAGAAGGGACTGTGAGGAAAGTTGATACGGTCACGTAGGGTTGTTCCTCAGTGGATGTTTAGCATCTGTCAGGCCCTGGGTTCAATCCCAGGACCATAACAAAATACCATAGCAACTAGGTTCTGCCCAGCGTATGCTGTCCCTGTAGCTCACCAGGGTTGATCTTGCTGTCCATTCTTTATGTTGGCCATTCAGGGGAGTTGATAACTCCTCTTTGGTGGAAACTGGCCAAGTAACTTCCCTCTTTTCTGGAACCTTGAGCTTTCAGAGACAGTGTGGAAACAGCTCCAAGTCTGGTTCATGCTGGGTCATTTTCTCTTGTCTCATGGACTCTTTATCTCAATATAGTGAGAGAGTATTACTCAGAAGACAGGCTTGGCAGCAGAATTACTGTGCCCATGATAACCAGGTCCCTGAGTCACATGGAGTCTAGTCAGCATGAGATGCCCCATTCTTCCTCAGAGCCTCAGAGGTCCTCCGAAGTGGTCCTGCCTCCTGGAAAGTTTTTCCCCAGCAAGCAAGATGGAAGAGAAGGAGTGTTACCCTCTCCTTTCTAATGCCCAATCATATTTGTTCGCACTCAGTTTTCCCTGGAGCCACAGAGGCTGAGAGAGGAGCTTGGGGAGATTGTCTTGGTGGGGATCCATTTTCCCAGCACACCAAGGCATTCTATTGGAGCAAAAGAAAGCAAGGCTCGTTTTTTGTCAGGGAGCTGGTGTCTTCCCTACATGGCAGCATTTTACCATCAAGTCAGTCTCTTCCATAGATGGCTGGCTGTCTTCCTTGTCATTTGCTACATGATAAGCTGTCTTGGAGTTTTGTGATTTAAAAATAATAACTGCCATTTTATTTTTTACGACTCATTCTTACATGAAAATTTTCCCCCGTGGGAAGGCTTTAGTTTTGTTGTAGTTTTAGGTTAGGGGCAAAGCCGAGCAGCGTGTAGACGCTTCCTAATGTCTGAGTTCAGGGTGTGCTGCTTTCTGTCATGTCCAGTACCACGGGGGTGGGTTTGTCCAGCGGAGTCTGTTTAGTGTATCCTTGTTGGTCACTGTCCCCAGCTTACATCAGAGCTCTAGCGGGGGTAGTGCATACTTTGTAGATTTGAAAAGTGGTTAGTGACATATGTCATTTATAGTACGACACAGCAATTTGTCCCCTCAAAATGCTCTGTTCTGCCAACTTATCTTTCTTCTTACCCACAAACCCCTGGTCTCGTTACAGTCACCATGATTTGCTTTTCCTAGAATGTCGTAAAGCTGGAGTTTCACGGTATATAACCTTTTCCGCATGGCTTCTTTCCTCTAGGGCACAGCACCAAGGGGACTTCAGTGTATTTTAATGGCTCCCCAGTTCATTTTTTTCTCTCCCTCCTTTTCTTCCCTTCTTTTGGGGACAGGTCTCACGTAGGATTAGATGGTCTGTGACTTTTTTACATAGCTGAGGATTACCTTGTACTTCTGACTCTCCTGGCTCTACCTCTTGTGTGTTGGGATCGGGTGTGGGCTACCACTCCCTGTTAGCGCAGCGCTGGGGATCAAACCTGGGTGTTTGCGTGCGTTAGGTTACAACTCCGAGCACAGAGCAGGATCCTGCTATCTGCACACACGATGTTTGAATCATCCTTTCACCACTGAAGGGTGTTGTAGTTACTTCCAGAGTGTTGGCAGGTGCATACACAGCCTGTATAAACAGTTGTGTGCCGGCTTTTAAACGACAGGTTTCTACCTTACTACTAAGCAATGCCATTGCTGGATCCTGTGGCAAGCGCTTTATTTCTGTAAGGAACTGTCCAGCTGTTTGTACCGTGTGACTTGAGAGAGGTGGGGCCACTTACCCGGAACACGAGCAGGAGAAAAGACAATCCTTACCACGCATCTTGCATTTTGCTTTGTTTTTGGACAAAGTCTCATCGTATAACACGAACTGGCTTCAGATTCGTGGTAAGCCTCCTGCCTCATCTCTATGCGGCACCATGCCTGGCCTGCCATTCGTCTAAAGGCTTGCTTAATGAGCCTTGAGTTAATGCCTTTCCTTAAAAGGGGCCATCTGTGTTTGTGGCAGTGTCAGTGTAATGTAAGAGGTTCTGAAGGTGAGAGTCACTAGTTGTCAGTAGTGACAACTGTCAGTGACAGGCAGACACCGTGAAAGCACCTCTGTCTTCTGACTGTATTCCCTGCCATTCATGCTTAGCCTCTGGTTCTTGTGTCCGAGTTGGGGGTTCGTGGCATTCTGGGAATCTGTCTGTTTTTGCGGAGTGCTTCGGTGTAGCATGTCATACCGAATAGTTTTATGTCCGTGTCTCCTTTATCTTTTCCGTCTCTGAGAATGAAACGTTTTTACTTCCACTGCACTTCTCCCTCATTCCTGGCCCCGCCCCCATCTTATAGTATACTTTATTTCTGTCTTCTCTTTCTCTGCCTTTCTTGCTCCATTTTCCCACACACCCCTTGCCGGTGTCTTTTTCTTTCTTTGATCAGCTGTGCCGGAGCGCCCGTGAATCTTCTCAGCTTTTTCCAGCTTTGTTAGAGCACTCCGTTGTTCCTTTCATGCTTTCCAGTTCATCGATTTCTGAACGGATCATTTCTGTCTTTTCTGTCTCTCGGGCTTGCGTTGTTCCTTTTTGTACCAGCGTCATGGGTTGAAGAGTTAGCTCAGTCGATTCCTAAGCAATGTGTTTGTATCATTGCATTGTGTCTGACTGATTTTCTCAAGAGGGTTTCCAGAGTAGGGACTATAGACTGAAACTATACTGATATATTGCAGGTTTCAAAAAAAAAATTATTGGCTGGTGCAGTGCCTTGATGGTTAAAAGTTTTTACTGCTCTGTCAGAGGACTTTGCTTTGATTCCCAGCACCTGCATCTGGTGCCCTGCAACTGTCTGTAACTCCAGTTCTGGGGATCCAAAGGCTTCTTCTGGTCTCCAAGGACACCTGCATGCTCATGGTAAAACACACACACACACACACACACACACACACACACACACACACACACACACTTTAAAACTCTAAAAAAAATTTTTGTTTGTTTGTTTGAACCAGGGTCTTATGCAGCCCCAGTGGCCCCAAACTTGCTATGTCTGACTTGGAGCTCCTGGTCCTCCTTTTTTTTAACCTCCCGAGTGCTGGATGACAGATATACACCTTCATGACTAGTTTCTCTTTCTCTTTCTGGATATTGAGCCCAGGAGTTGATGTGAACTGTGTGAACAGCATACCAAAGAGGCACATTTACATCTGATTTTTTTTGTTTTTGAGACAAGGTTCTTGAGTATAGCCCAGGCTAGCCTTGAACTGTAGACCATCCTCCTGCTTCAGCTCCCCAAATTCTGGGATTACAGAATTTGGTGTGGATCTCCATGTCTGGCTCTTTCATTTTTATTATTTTCTGAGATGAGACCTTGTTAGATCATTCTAATGGCCAACACTAAGTGTTGAATTGTGTTTACTGTCGGTACCTCATCGGATGACAGATGAGTTTCTCTTTTTGACCTGCTAATGATAGTTTATTTTAAGGGAATAAAGTTTTCAGGAGAAGCCCACAGCGGCTTCTGCTGTGTACCCACCCTGGCCGTGGCATTTTATTCACCTCTTTTCTCTAAGTTGGAAAAAAAAATAATCTATTTCTGAGTGCGCCTGGTCAGATTGCAGTTTTTTCCTTGGAGATTCCAACATGGCTCTGAGCCTTTCATAGACAATGGGCACCTTCCTTGTAAACCGTGTGACTGGTACCCAAAATCTCTATCGCTTGGTTTCACTCTCTTGGGAGCTTGTCGAGGTCCAAGTTCTCTTCACAGCAGACTCATTGAAAAGTTCCCAAATGTTTCTGGGCTATTGGCATATTTACCTTTGTCTTTTTAAGGCAGTGTGATGATAATATTTTTCCAGGTCCCTGAGCTTTTTCAGATGTGTCGACCACACTCCAGAGTCAGATACTGCATGCCCCTCATGGCCCCTGTCTGAAGAAAAAGTTCAGATTTCCCCATTTAGCAGATGTATTTTCTTTCTCAAAGAAGTTTGAACTTAGCTAAACTTGGCAGCTTTTCTGTTTTCGGAGGTAGTCAGGTTGGATCCTGCTGACCCAATAGTCTGCAAGCATGCTTTTCTGCAGAAGTCGATGGTTACTGACATTTGCATACAGGCAATTCTGCTCTCTGTAGATTATTTGAGGTTTCAGGTCACCCGCTTCCCTTTCTTTAGCCGGCAGTGAACTGTCGATAATGTCTCTGTAAACAAATGCTAACACCTGGGGATCTAAAAACAGCTTTCAAGGTGGAGAGTTTCTGTCTGACTTGCCACCTCTCATTTCTTAGTTATTCTGTAGCAGTTCTCTGCGGAGTAGGATGCAGCTATAGCGAACACACTTGCCACACGCTTTCACTTTCCCGTTTGTCCTGCAGGCACAGCCATTAATAATCTCGGTCTATGAGGGCGTGACACAGCAACTGTTTTAAGTGGACCTTTTCCTCTATGTGGTTTATACAATGCACCAACCTCACACAGGACAAAGTCTTGGTGAGGAGACAATTACTTCCCGTTATGACTGGAGGATTTGTTTGCAAGTGGGTTGGTGACTTTAGAGAACTCATTCATTTGCTTGGGGGGGGGGGCAAAGGGTTCTGTCCTTGAACAGGTGGCCTTGCCCTGGGATCTTGCTGAGGGTGGGAAGGGCCACCGAGGGAACTTTGGTGATAGGACACCTTGGCACCTTACCCTGCCTTAAGGTTGCCAAGGATTGAGTCTGTCTCCCAGTGTCCTCACAATCAAGGCTCCCAGTGTGTTAGATGGCATTTGACCAAGTCCTTATCACTCACAAAACTACTGAGTCACTGCCTTCCTCCAGGGACACTAGATCTCTTAGCCCAGCCCCTTTCAGGCTTGCTTTGTTATCGCCTTCTGTGTTGATTGTGGTTCTTACCGAACTTTTTGCTGAGCACAACAACATGGTGGGTTGGGAAAACAGCCAACAATGTGGAATGGCTTCCTCATTCCCTATCTGCTTTGTTGTTTTGAGATGGGATCTCTCATTGAGTAGTCTAAGCTGGCTGCTCTACAACCTTGGAGATCCTCCTGTCTCCACCTCTCTGGGGCTGGGTTTATAGCTGTGCACTGCTGTACCAGGCTTTTCCTGTGCGGAGATTTGAACTCAGGACTTCATGCTTCTACAGCGAGTACTTTAGCAACGATGCCATCTCCCCTTCTCCCTCTACCCAAAACATGGCTCTATCAGCAATTGGCCTAAGAAGTTCAGAGTTCAGACGTGGCCTTCCGGGGAGGTCTTCCTGACCTTTGCCATTTTTCATCCTATTTATAGATCTTATGTGTTTTTATTGAGTTATTTGTGACCCACACTCTCATTCTCTGAGAGATCTTGGAGGAGGGAAGAACTTGAAGCCCTGGACCTCAAGTGTCATGGAAAACCTACTTCTTGTCATGTATGTCTCTGCTGTAGCATAGTCTGCTTATAAATATTTGAGTGTTGCTTGCCACTAAGCTATTTTGCTAGAAGCTCATCTTTTCTGTTCCCTTCCATGTTTTCATTTATTGCCAGTCTGCCGTTCGACCTCTGGTTTCTTAGGGAGATAAGGCTCCTTGGGAGCTGATTGGAGTTTTTCAAATGCATAGAAACAGCAGGA